TGAATGAGACACTTTTTAGTTTTGTGTGTCCATAAATATCATGTATTGCTAAAAGTGTGTCAGGTTTATTCATGTTTTTCATCTTTAGAGATGTAAATCCTGAAAAGACGCCTCACATGAATGTGAAGATGGGAAAAGAGTGAATCTATGGCAGTGATGTCACTCCATCCTTTGAATTTCCCTAGGTACCAGCTAAAAATGACATTGTGATCTATCATTCTGATTTACCTTTAATGATTTATCATCACCAGCTAAATCAGATCCTTTAATGTGATCCAAGCAAGGAATCAAAAACCACTTCCTATAGAAAAAGATTATGTAATACAAAGTATTACTTTTAGTTATTTTTTTTTTTAGTTTAGAGATTTATACACACAGAGTCAATGCTGTTTAAGACCTGATGGGTGACATGCATGCTTCTGTCTTTAAAAACTGGAGCAAGAATATTTGTTGCAGGGAAAATGTGACATGACAACAAGTGTGACCACAGGATATATCTGTTGTAACACCATTTGTGGACCTTATGATCCAGAAGTAATATCTTAAATCTTTGCATGCCCCATGTCTATGTTAAGCACTTAAAGACTTAAGCCCTAGAGAATCCCTGGGGTTTAAACCACAACCAAACAGACACGTGTTCCCAGTGCCTCCTGATGTGAACAGGAGCCCAGAGACTCTTTGTGCCTTGGGGATAACTAATATCTATGGCCACCCACCACTCCCCTATACCTTTAGTTCCAGTACTCAGTGATTAGGAATTTAAAATCACAACAGCCATTTCAATATGATCAGCAAAATAAAAAAAATTAAATGACTGAAATGTAATGTGGGAGAAATTTTAACTGAGGAAAATTCCATTTTAACTTGAGAGAAATCTCAAAGGAATCAAAGACAAATTCTGAAGTATATGTTATTCACATAAACATTTCTCGTTGGTGGAGTTAGTTAGATTCAGTTTGAGATTTGATTTGAGAGTGAGCAAATTTATTTTGTGTGACATTTTACTGGTGTAATTTCCTTTTTGTTACCTGGGTGATAGCTGACATTACCAGAAACTCTGCTGAGCGTGTTTCCTGTATTAATTCATTTATGTTCACATAGATTGTATGAGGTAAACATTGTTATCACCTTCTTTTTACAGATGAGGCACCAGGCTAAGAAGGTCAACATCTTGCTGATATGCCCACAAGTAGAAAGTGTGAGAGCTGAGCTTGAGCAACCCAGAGTCTGGCCCTACAGTTGGACCCTTATACACTGGTCTCACTACTCAAGGAATGAATATATTCTACTTTGAAAGATCCACGGGATCCCTGGGTGGCGCAGCGGTTTGGCGCCTGCCTTTGGCGCAGGGCGCGATCCTGGAGACCCGGGATCGAATCCCACATCGGGCTCCCGGTGCATGGAGCCTGCTTCTCCCTCTGCCTATGTCTCTGCCTCTCTCTCTTTCTCTCTCTGTGACTATCATAAATAAATAAAAATTAAAAAAAAGAAAGATACTTCAGAATTCAAAACAAAGTGTAAAACTGTTCAGTAAAGATTCTGATGTGAGCTGAGTTGGATTTGCAAAATAATTTGAGAAGAGTGGATGTCCTGAATGTTCTTCTATTTCCATCAGGAGCAAAATGTGTGCCTCTATTTTTTCAGATTCCTTCATCAGTAAGTAAAGTAAGTAAAAGTATTTTTTACTTACTTTTATCAGTAAGTAAAACTTCATGATTTTATCTTTAAAGTTTTATGTATTTCCATTTATATATATCCTAACATAATTCTGTTGCTGCTATTGTTCAGTGGCCAATGGCATCTTTCCTTCCGTGTTGTAGCAGGTAATAGGAGGTTGATAGGAAAGTGATTGATGTTTACATGTTTTCAGCTACACAGGAAACTTTTATCACGTGTAATACTTTTTTTTAGTAGATTATTTTAAGTTTTCCTGACAGTTGATCAACTATCTATACGTAGTGACAATTCCATTGAATCAGGGTTTTTTATTGTTTTCTTGCTGATAGAGAATATGTGTTTTGTTTGTTTGTTTAACGATTTTATTTACTTATTTGACAAGAAAGAGAGAGTGGGGGAGACAGAGAACAAGCAGGGGGAACAGCAGGCAGAGGGAGAGAGAGAAGCAGGCTCCCCGGTGAGCAGGGAGCCAGACATGGGGCTCCATCCTAGGACCCTTGGATCATGACCCAAGCCGAAGGCAGAGACTCAGCTAACTAACTGATCCCCAAGCACCCAAAAGAGAATGTTTTTTTAACAGGAAGTTTCCTTCTTTCCTAATAGCTTTTATTGGGATACAGAAGTGTTAGGTTCACAGAAAAATTAAGCAGAGCACACAGAGTCCCAATGTGCCCCTCACCTCCACACGTGCACAATCTTCCTCACGCCACACCTGATGGTACATTTGTCACAATTGGTGAACTTATACTGCCACATCCTTATCACTCAAAGTCAGTAATTTAAATCACATTTCACTCAGGTTTCTACATTTGATGGGTTTTAACAGATACATGGTGACAGGTATCTGGCATCATCATCTCATACAGAGTAGTGTCCCAGCCTGCAAATCCTCTGCATTCTGCATATTCATCCTTCTTTCCTCCCCAACTTACAGAAACCATGGATCTTTTACAGTCGCCGTAATTTTGCCTTTCCAGGATGTCATAGAGTTGTAACCATACACTACGCAGCTCTTCAGATTGGCGACTCTTATTTGGTAATATGTGTGTAAGGTTCTTTCGTGCCTTCTCATGCCCTACAGCTCATCTATAAGAGCTCAATTCCATAGAATTTTGCAACTGTATTTCACTGTCTGAAGGTACCACAGTTTCTCCGTCCATCGACCTATTGAAGGACATCTTAATTGCTTACACAATTTGGAAATTATGATTAAGAATGCCATAAACATCATGTGCAGGTTTCATATAGACATGTATATAGCTCCTTTGCATAAATACCAAGGACACAATTGCTGGATAATATGGTAAGACTTTGTTTACTTTTATGAGAATTTCCACAATGGCTGTACCATTTTGCATTCTCACCAGCAATGAATGAGTGCTCCCACTGCTCCACATCACCAGCATTTGGTGTTGTCAATAAATTATATTTTTTCAAAAGCAAGAAAAGAAGAAGAGAACTGGAGAGAGAGAGATGAAGAAACTAGTTTGAGGATCATCATCCAGAAGAATTCAATTGAGTCAGAAACTGAGATGCAAGCAGAGAACTTCATTGTCATCAGCCCTCTTCCACCTGACTTGGCACCACCTCTAGCCATCTTGACTGAAAGTACCACTTTGTTACTGTACAATTCATACACTATCATGCCTGAGCTAGACCTACTGGCTTCCAACCCGAACAAGTTTGAGCAAGTTTCTTACTTTCTGCAAGTTAGCTGACTCAACTTTTAAAATAGGAAATAGAATTCTTCATAGATTTGTAGCAATGATTGAAGATGATAAATTATGTTTGCACATTGTCTGGCCATAGCTAGCAAGCAAAAATTAGTGCTACTCTTTTTATTGCACAATTATTATTGGCTATGTGAGGTTTTGAAACCCAAAGGAACTGTACAGAGGATTATAACAGTATGTTGCCAGATATAATCAGCCCACTGTTCTTGTGATTACATGATTTTTATTGAACATGATATTTCACCTGCCCCAGCCTCTGGCAACCAGCATTTGCTCTATGTCTATGAAACTGACTACTCTAGGAACCTCATACTGGTGGAATCATGTAGTGTTTTTTTCTTTTTACTGGCTTATTTCCTTTAGTGTACTATCCTCAAGGTTCACCCATGTTGTAGCATGTGACAGGTTTTCCTTGATTTATAAGGCTGAATGTGAATAGTACTACATTATATATATGTACCACATTTTCTTTATCTATCCATCTGCCCATGGACACTGTGTTCTTTCCACCTCTTGGTTATTGTGGATAATGAAGCTATGAACATCAGTATGCAAATACGTGTTTCACACCCTGCTTCAATTCTTTTGCACAGGTACTCAGAGGTGACTCGATTGATCATATTAACTTTCCTTTTAATTTTTGGAGGGATATCCAGGCTCTTTTCCTCACAGGCTGCACCATTTTACACTCCCACCAAAAAAAGCACAAGAATTCCTATTACTCCAAATCCCTGCCTACACTTGTTCTCTCCTGTTATTTTTTTTTACAATAGTCATCATAATGGGTGTGAAAAGCCCATGTGATTTTGACTAGATCTGAAACCCAGCAGGAAAGCACTAGTGCAAATAAACCTACATGTGTCTCATCCCACCCACCATTCTGCCCCCACATCCCACGGAGTACAGTGGAAACTCTCCTTGATTTGGCCAGTCCAGTATCTCTAGTCACACAACTTTCCCTCTGCCACTATGTACTATTATATATTAAATATTAGCTTAAATTAGTAAATTATTATTGGGGATATAGGCTTCCTCTTGACATTGTCTTCTTTTGGGATACCATAAACCACTCATTCCTCTCACTGGGGTCACCAGGCTACTAACCTTTCTCCCTCACCTGCCCAAAGGGAAACTTGGCAGAGCAGGCATCATTTCATACTGAAGATACACCCTAAGTTTAGGGGTTTGTTGATTCATAGTCACTCATTTATTCTAAGAATATTTGCTTTTCCTCTCATGTGTGCCAGACACTATGCTAAATAAACATGAGCAAAACCAGAGGTTGCCCCTGCACTTCAGGAGCTAACATCCAGGGGGGCTTGCATCAATTAATTGACTACACATTTGTGAAATCACATCATCAGTGTTTGCTACAAAGGAGAGGTGCATGGTGCCAGCAACGACCATGAACAGGAACTCTGACCCTGCCACTGGGGTCTGTGACATCAATTGATGACATGAGAGAGGAACAGAGGGCTGGAAGCCAACCCCTTAACCTGACCACATGTTTATTTGGGCAGCACCAGAGAGGCTCTCTAGCTATAAGTAGCCCTGGGCTCCCTGGGCTCCTGAGTTCAGCTCCTAAATTGCTCACCATTCACTAAGCTGAAAACTCAAAACAAAATAAACCATGAGGCTGTCCCTGAGTGTCCTGCTGGTCACTCTGGCTCTTTGCTGCTATGAGGGTGAGTATCATTACTCATCAGACAGGCACCAGCCCTGGTGAGTACCCTTCTCTGAGCTAGGTGAACCTAAGTGGCTTTTCTCTTTTTCTTCTACTTGTGAACTAGTCCCCAACCCCTTCTCCCAACCTCAGGGCTCATTTTATCAGTTCCCAACACTCTAGAGTTTTACAAGAAATTGTTGCAGGCAAATTTTAAGAGTTTTCCAAGGGAGCCTCCTCCTTATTTGTGATCTGTGTTTCAGAAGCAAGAGGAGAAAGATTTAGGTTTGATACATGGCTCTGCCACTTACCAGTGTTTTGAGCTTGAGCAAAATGCTTAATCTCTTCTCATCCTTGGATTTGACAGATACCACAAGAGTAGCTACAGCAATGGATGAGATTAAGTCTGTTAAGGGTCTAACTTTTGTCTACTAGTTCCTAGACATTCCCCTTCCCAGAGTTTTTCAGGTGCCAGTGTAGTCCACAGCTTTTTAACTCACGGATTCAGACTCATAAAATGTTACAGCTGGAAGGGTTTGGGAGAGTTATCACTTCCAGAAGAGCCTGTGTTCTCTTAGTCTCTGATCATAAATCTTCAAGGAGGCTCTGGTAACAAGCAGCAATCACTACAGCTACTAATGAGTAGATCTCACTGTATCTACCAGTCCTCCTGGTTTTCTAAGAGTGCTACCAGTATTTTGTAATACACCAAGTACACTTGGAGGGGTAGGATTTCTGTTTATCTAGATGAACTGTGGCCATCCACTCACAATATTTTGGCCTGTCTTCTTACCCTTGATATTGACCCAAGTCTTCTTCAGTCTTTCTATTTCATCTGATTAAATGTCCTGGTCTTTCCCTCTGCTGACTGTGGTATGAACCTCTCAAATTCCTTGCATAGTTTCACATCCAATCAGGGGTCAGATCAGAATCTAACTACAGTGCGGTTACAAAAACTTGGGGAGATAGAGAATCCACACTAGGAAAAGTGGTCACTTCAGGCCTCCACACAGTTTCATGGGATCAAGAAAGAGCCCCATTCCCTGCCTCTCACCCTCTCTAAGATATTCTGCACATCACTGAACAAATAAGAGAGCCTATCATAGTTTTGTAGATAAGCTTCAAATGTGTTCAAACTGATTACCTAGGAGGTTGTGTTTGTATGCATGTGGTTAGCTTTTTGACCTGTCGGTGTCCAATGACATAATATTATTCTTTAGTCTGAAAGTGGCATATTCCAACATATAAATAATGTGACCTGCTCTTCTCCAGATTACTCTCCCCTTCTCTGCTCTCTGGAAAGATCTGGTTCTACCATTCACTTAAAAAAATGATTACCAAAATCTCCTCTTCTCTGATATCCAAGACAAAAATAAGGCATCACTCTGTTCAGGCAGACTTAATTGTTTGAAATAAAAAGAAAGTAAACTTCTGCACCAGGAAATCTTGTAAAGGAGGGAATGTGCCTTAAAAAGGACAAAAACTGAACTAGGGATCACTAAGTCTATAGTCTAGTCCTGGCTCTGCTGTTTGCTCCCTGCCTGATGTGAGGAAGTCACAGCTTCCGGGGTCAGGCATCGTCATTGGCACTATTATGGCATGAGATCCTAAAACCTCTTGTCTAGTTCTGACTTCAGGGAGCCACGGGAAAATGTGATTTTCCTTACATAGGTTGTATATCTTTTTCTTCCCCAGGCAATGCAATCACCTGTCCAGGCTTTGCACTTGAATTGAAGAGCTTCTTCTTTCTAGACCCAGCTAGCTATGAGACTATACTTCGGATACTATGTGACCCACCTCAAGAAGTCATTCAGGCCAAGTTGAAAGTGAAGAACTGCACAGATCAGATATCCCTTGGGAACAGAATGCTAATTGCAAGAACAATGGTAATTCCTTTCTTCTTTGTGCATAGAGACTTCTGCTCAGCTGAGCAGCCAGGAAGGCAGTCAGGGTGCTGCTCCACTGGGGACACAGGTGGTGGAGGTACCTGTCTCCCTTCGCTGTGATAGGCTTAAAGATGGCCACAGGGCAGATGACGTTATACCTGGGGAGCTACACTGAGGCTGCAAGGAGCTCTGGGCACATTCCTCCTTCTTTAGGCCACTTCCTGGGCTCTAGGTTCCCCAAAGTGTCCTGAGGAGGACAAGCAGTGATGTCGAAGGGCCAAAGCCTGGCGGCCTCCTTATCAGGGAGCTCTACTGTGGGCGAGCTCCCCCCTCAGATTGGACACAGTCACAGGGGAATCCCATGGAGGTCTTGGGGTTGAACAGAGAGACAGCTTGAAGAGAGGAAACCCAGCCCTCTGTCAGCATGAAGAGCAGCCTGTCAGCTGCTGCAGAGCCAAGGCCTACCCTCCATACCTCAGCTCACTTCACCATCCCTGCCTACTATTCTTTCCCTTATTATGCCCATGTCCAGAGACCCTCCTTCCTCTGTCTCCTATAGCCACCTGTGAGGGTGAAACACTTCAATTACATCTTTGTCGAGAAATTAGATATTTAACAGTGCCTCTCAGCCCATCAGGTGCTGGCTTTGGGTCATGAGATTCAGTCACAAATGTCACAGGGGCTGAGTTGGATTTCCACACCATGACCCTGGGACTCACCTGAAAGCCATATTCCTCAAATCCCCTCCCACCCTTTTTCTAGTCACTCACTCTCATATCCCCACTGCAATGAAAATTTAGAGTCCTCTGCCTTGAGATAGTAGAGAAAAAACTCCCGGGCTGCTCCTCCTTGCATTAGAAACCTGGGTCTAATGGCTCTTGGCTCATCTCAGGATTTATTTGCCAGACTATGGAAATAGATTGTTCCTGAACTGCATGGTTTGTTCTAATTGTGTCAGATGTATTTAGCTTACCATCCTCTCTGGTTTCCTGTCTTGTGCCCATTCTACTTGCCTTTTGTTGGTCAAAACTTCACTGACAAATTTTTGTGAGTGACAGTCTGTGTTAAGATGTCATCCCCAGGAGCAGCACTGATCTCTCTTTCTTTATCTATTTCAGGTGAGAATCATGGAGTCCTGTATATAACGAATCTTACATACTAGTATCCCTGTCTCCCAATGGTCACCTGATCTTGTAGAAAATGTAAAGGTTTCAACATCTTGCTTCAATAAATCACTCTCCCTGCACTACTCTATTTGTCTTCTTATTACTCCACAGTCTCCAGCCTTGAGTTGGGGTGGTCTTTGTCATGAAGTGCCCATTGGGTGCTGTCAACAGTAAATTTCAGAGACTTAATATCCAGTTACTCATGGCAACCTGAAGAGCAGGACCACAAGAGGGAATATTTGCTCAGGAATAATCCTGCACCACTTTATAGATTTCCCACTCACATGGCCATGATCGTAAATGAGATTTCAGAATGATGCACAATTAAAATGTTACTGCTGTAGTTTTGTATGAGGGATACCCACAGCTTGTCTGGTCAGTCACACGTTTCTCAACCAGGAGCATCTCTAATATTGTGTCCTTATCACAACTACAACCAACCTGCTTGGTCCTCACAACTTCACTCTGATTTCAATCCTATGATTCTCTGGTACAATTTGTTTTCTGTCTCCTTCTCAGTTTTTAGTGAATCTCCAGGGTTCACCCTTTAGTTAACTCTTTTTGACTCTGCACATGCACATTGCTCTGTGACCTCTAGACCACTCATCAACACCTCAGGCTAATGCTTTTTCCCTCATATTCTCCTGAGAGCTCCAGAAACAGCATCCAGCTGCCATCTGGACAACTTCATTCAAGACTCCACAGTTTCTTCAGGATAAATGTATGAAGCTGTATATACTGCCTTGCTACCTGCTCTTCCTTCCACAAGCCCCGCGTTCTACTTAAGGCCCCAAGCCATGAGGCACCTGATGCGGAAAATCTGGATTAATTTCCAGTGACTGCTGCAAAACACTACCACACACTTGGTGGTTTACACCAATTATTTTCTCAAGTTGGGATGACAGCGGCCCAAAATCTGTAACACTTTGCAGAAATCATTGTGTCGGAAGGGCCACGCTCCTTCTGGAAAGTTGAGGTGAAAATCTATTTATGGCTACTTATAGTTTTAATGGCTGGAAACCATCATTCCTTGTCTTGTGTCCCCTCACTCTGATCTCTGCTCTATAAGGTCACACTGCCTTCTCTTTTCCATGCCTGTCAATCTTCCTCTGTCTCCCTTATATAAAATATATGGGTTTTCAGGGCACCTGGGTGGCTCAGACAGTTAAGTATCTGCCTTCAGCTCAGGTAGTGGTCTTAAAGTCCTGGAATCAAGCCCAGTTTCAGGCTCCCTGCACAGCAGGGGTTCTGCTTCTCCCTCTCCTTCGCCTATCCTCCTACTCATGTTCTCAGCCATTCTCTCTCTCTCTCATAAATAAATAAATTCTTTAAAATAGATTAGATTGCATTTAGAGGATAATCCCCAAAATTCAGGATAACCTGTCCATGTCAGAATCTAGTTTTATCACATGGACAAAGTCTTTTTCTACCATGAAGGGTAACATTGCAAGTTGCAGGCATTAAGATGTGGGTGTCTTTTGGAGAAACTTGATAAGTTTAACACAATCCCCTTCCCCACTGACCTCTAAAATTTCTTTATTTTTTAAATTTTTTTAAAAATTTATTTATGATAGTCACAGAGAGAGAGAGAGAGAGAGAGAGGCAGAGACACAGGCAGAGGGAGAAGCAGGCTCCATGCACCGGGAGCCCGACGTGGGATTCGATCCCGGGTCTCCAGGATTGGGCCCCGGGCCAAAGGCAGGCGTCAAACCGCTGCGCCACCCAGGGATCCCTGACCTCTAAAATTTCACTGAGTTCTGCCCCCCTCCAATCCCACAGTCTCACTCTGAGCTTCCCTCCCAACTTTCCCCACAGCTGTTATCACAGTCCAGTCCCATCCTGCCCAGCTTGGGTCAAAGTCACCTATAAGGTTCCCTGAACTCTCTGGTACCTTTCCTGCAATACCTCCTCCTCATCAATGCGAAAGTGACCTTCTCACCTAACTATGAATCTGACCTCACTCCTAGAACCATGAATTACAAAAAGTTAAGTGTTTCCAAACCTTTTCAGTAAGAGGACATTTTCAATCTTAAACCCAACTCTAAAATTAGGATCCCTGGGTGGCTCAGTGGTTTGGCGCCTGCCTTCGGCCCAGGGCACAAGTCCTGGGATCGAGTCCCGCGTCGGGCTCCTGGCATGGAGCCTGCTTCTCCCTCTGCCTGTGTCTCTGCCTCTCTCTCTCTATGTCTATCATGAATGAATAAATAAAATCTTTTAAATAAATAAATAAATAAATTATAGTCAGCAATTGATACTACCTCTTGACGGAGAAACAGAAGGTGACAGCTATCTACCATTATCAATTATTAGCAATGCCTTAATAATAAATATGTATTTAACATATCAGGGAATATGTACACTCAAACTGGCCCCCTTTTATGAAATACATCCCATATTCTCCCATATTCAGCCTACACACTATGTGCAGCTGGCACAAGGACTATGGATCTCTTGCAAACCCTGAGATACTCAGACTGCAGACAACTGCTGGGAGGAGCAAGGCCCATCATTTACACTATACACAAGGACATCCATGGCTCCACCCCTGGGCAGCCCCTCAGCCTCTCTCCCTGATCACAGGGACTGTATACTCAGCCACAGTCATCTACATACCATTCCCTCATGTATCCTACTCAGTCACACTACCTCAGTACCAGGACCAGGACAGGTGGGGTCCTCTTTGCCTCTAATATCTTCCCTGAATAGGACAGCCTACCATCTCACCTGTAAAGTCTATTTCATGTCTCCTCCTCTGGGAAGCTTTCTCTGAGTCACACACCCTAAAACAAATCTTTATACACCCTCAAGAACAAGCACACAGATACACAGTTTTACAATCACACACAGACAAACCCAGAGACACTCATACACTGACAAACACACACACATACACGCCCATTCTTTCGTTATCATTTTGCCTTTCTGTGATAGAATATTCCTATGTCAGAGTTGTTTGCAGTAATTTAATAATATAAAACAACAAATTTCTATCACTATTGTTGTTCCTAAAATACTAGCATTTATATTCATTGAGCAGTCTTATGGACTGGTCATTACCCGAAAAGTTCACATGTTCTCTCACTTATCCCGACTGGTAGCCAGGAAGGTAAAAGATTATTACTACCATTGAATGTGGAGATGAAAAATGTCTTCCTCATGTTCCTCTACCCTGCCTCTGTGTTGGAACCAACTGTGAAGATTTCAAAAGCAGCTGATGCTTAGACTGGTCCCACCTCTGCCAGGACAAACATACAGATATCTCTGCAGGTAGAACCCATTAAGCCCTCATTTCTTCATCTCCAACCCCTTTAGGTGTCAGCAGTCCAGTGACTGGTGAACATGTGCCACCTGTTGACAAGTGGAGGAGGACAAGATTCTCCATAAGATTCAGAGAACCCCCAGCATCACCATGGTGATCACCTTGACCTTACTATTTTTATTTAAGTAGTCTCTGCACCCAACATGGGGCTCAGACTCTAGATCAGGAGATGAAGAGTCCCATGCTCTTCCCATTGAGCAGCTAGCCACCCAGTGCCTAAGACTTTTCCTTAGCTATTTCTGTAAACCTTCAAGCCCAATAATTTCAGGGTATTCATTAGTTTCACTGTTATACAAGTAACAAACTTAGGGATTCATGAAGGACATTTTCCTTCATGAGCTGCTCCTAGAGAATGTAAGGTAAGATAAAGCAGGACTGCAAAGGCTGGGGCTGAGAGGAGAAATGTTCACAGAGTGATTGTTTACTGTGTGCAGTTTCTGACTGAGTTCACCTCTGCAAATGGGTAGCCGTGACAACACTGGGAATGTACTTAATGCAGTAGAACTGTACATTTAAATATGGTTTAAGTGGTAAATGTTATCTTTTGTGTATATTACCAAACACCAACACATACACACTGTCGTGCACACAAAACACACATACTCCATAGGCTATAGCTCTCTGAGGCAGCAGAAAGAGAACTATATGGAGGAGGACCTGTAGTTCAATCTCCATTGGACATAATCCTCCACTGTTGCTGACACCTCAACCTAAATTACGTCTGGTGTCAACTCACTGTTTGATTTGCCTCCTGGATTTTTCATGTTGACATAAACCTATTTTTCTAGAAACTCTGGATCTAAGTCACAACAGTGAATAACCAAGTATGAAGGATGGATGTATTCGGAGTTTCTCGATTTTGACTCAGGCCTCTAACTGTTCCCAGATTAATACTCTCTGCCCGGGACTCCTCTTCCAATGGCTTCTCCCTACATCCATCTTACTCCCTAGGACAAGGTCAAGACTCTGAACACAAAGCTCTGCTTTTGCCATGGCTTATTTCCAGCAAACTTTCAAAGGTTCTCTATGTCCTAGGATATGACGTCTAATGTCTCCATTCTGAAATTAGCATATTCAGGCCTGTAAAGTAATCAAAATCTCACACCATTTCACACTTAAGACTTCTCCTTTCTTTCTCTCCTTTGCTACTATTTTTTTTTCTCTCCCCACTACTAACCATAATTTCTGACAGAGTTAGGGCCTAAAATGAGGAGAGACAAAAGGACAAGAAACTTCTTAATTGATTCACACTCTTTTGCAATTAGTCCAGATACTGTGAGACAGGCAGCTCTTTCTCCTGAGAATCCTTTCATGGGTCTTCAGAAAGCCCAGATTACTAAGATCTTTTCAATTCCTCAAGACTTAAAAACATTCAGAGTAAAAGAAAGCTCTGGAAAAAATTAAAAATCTAACCACTGAAAAAGAATAATAAGTTGGAAGACAAAGCAAACTGTGGAACAAAAGTAATGTATATGAAGTGGAAAGGATAAAGAACATAAATATGAGAGAAAGCAAAAGCATCTTAAAGCATCAATCCATAACACCCAACTAAAAAGATTCTAGAATGAGACAGACCATGATGGAAAGAAAATTATCAGAGAAAAATCTCAAGAACATTTCCTAGAAATGAAGAATACAAAATTGCATCTCCCACTCACTCTTCACATAAAAACACATTTCTGTGATCCTTTTGAACATCCTCAGAAGAAAGGTATTTCTTTCAGGAGAAAACACTGGGACATATAAAGGAGGAGGGA